TTATATATCAATACATATGTAATATGCAAAGATTGTATAGATATATTATATTTAATATATTTATGTATATATATATATATATATATATATATATACAACATGTTATATGTCTGATCGAAATGAATTAAATATTTTTATATAATTAAATATTTTGGTTAATATGAAAAATTAATATAATATAATTAATACTTTATTGCATATTCTTATAGATGACTTTATATAATTTTCATACAAAATATAATACATATTTGTTTAACTTATGTAAATTCGAAATATTAATTTTCAAAGTTGCATACAGTATTGTCCAATTTTTTAATAAAAAGATAAATTATTCGGATTTTATACATTAATAATAATAATAATGGATGAATTTAATATTCATGATTTATTTATTTTAGAAGAAAAAATATTCATTTCTATTTCAAATGAATTTTTTCTATATTAAATTTAATTTTGTTTGCTTTCAATTAATTGAAGAGTATATAAAATATGCTTTATAGACATGTTAGTTTTTTATGAAATATTTGTAATATTTTCTTAATTTGTTTTTCTTAATTTAAATGTTGTTTTTATTCATTCCTTTTTCATACATTCCTAGTAATATTTTATCAGGCATATATTATGTTAAGTGGTCCAGATATTTTGTTAATTTGTTAATATTATCTATTTCAATATTTTATATGAAAAGTAAAATATTTCTTAATACATTAAATAAAATATACATAATAGATAAATATTTTATTTTGATAATTTTTTTAGAATTAATTTTAAAATTAAAATTAATTTTGTTTTAAAACAAAATTAGAATTAATTTTGTTTTATTACTTAGTAGATATATTAAAATGGAATACATGGATAAATTTTTTTTAATATTTGATTTCTAAAAAAAAATTATTTTCTAAATTAAAATCAAAATTTGATGAATAAATTTTTTGAATTGTCACAAATTATTTGATGATTATTTTTATTAATTTTATAATATTTTGTTTAGTGATTTATAATAATTTAATTTTTATTTTTAACAAATAATAAATTTTCTTTCTATATATAAATAATTTTAAATGGAAATATTTGAATTTTAATATATTTAAAATAGATTAAAAGAAATTATCATTTTACAGAATAATCAATTCTTAATTCATTATATTGTAAATATCACTTTGCATATTTAAAATTATTATATATTATATATTAATATTAACAAATTCATAATTAATAGAAAGAAGAAAAATATCATAATATAATAAAAATAAAAATTAAAAATTAAAAAATATGTTCAATTAAAGACATAAAATAAATAAAAAATTAAAAATTTTTGCAGCAAAAATCAATTTTATAGAAATTTTCTTTTACATTAAAATTACTTAAATCTGAAAAATAAAAGCAAGTTATTTTGATTATTTTGATTATTATTTATTTATTATTTATTAAATAATCATTATCATCATATAATTTGATTTTCTATAAATGATTTTTTATTTCATTCATTTTTTATTTCATATTTTATTTCATAAAATATATCAAGAATAAATTGAAATTAGTAGTAAACTGACTATATTGAAGCATTGCAATATAAAGGATTAATGTGATATAAATTCTATCTTATTATTTATTTTTCCTGAAATTATTTATTATAAGAAATTATAGGTTTATAATTTTTACAATATAATATTTTTCGATATTAATAATTATATACATAGAATATACATATATGATAAAATAAAAATTCAAGTTTTATTAAAATAATTCCAGTCATTACATCTATCACAATATTTATACTTTGATTGATATTATATCATGTTAAATAAAATATATTTTTTAATATGTTTATTTTATTGAAAATAAAAAATTCTTATTTTTATTTTAGTTAATAGTTATTTCTTAGTAATAGTTATTATTTTATTTTAATAGTTTTAGAAATTGTCTAAATGCATGCATTTGATAATTTTAGCAAAACATTACCTATTTTTTAATATAAATTCTATATATTTTTATAATGTATAATTGAGATAATAGCTAATATAAACCATATAATATTATTTAATTAATTATTACTGTTTACAAACAAAAAATTTATTGCTTAGAAGAAGATTTTTTAAGAATATGTTAAGAAAATATGTTAAGAAAAATTCAATATTAAGAAATTAATAATTTAAGTTATATATCTTTCTTAAATTTAATATCTTTCAATAAAAAATGTGCAATTATATTGAAACTTATTTTATTTAAGAATTGAGATTATCATATTTAGGTACTTCATGTAGGATGTCAAATCGATATCATGTGTCAAATATTAATGAAAACTACTCATAGAGATCAAAAGAAATTAAAATTCTTTATTAAAAGGCATCAAGAAATTATCCTATTGGCAGATAAAATTGAAAAGTTTTTTACTTATATAGCACTTAGTCAACTTATATCAAATACTCTAATTACTTGTTGTTTGGGTTATCTTATAGTAATTGTAAGTAACACTGTTATATCGTTATATTATTGTATACATAATAATAATAATAATAATAATAATAATAATAATAATAATAATAATAATAATAATAATAA